CAGTTAACGAGCACAGACCCAACCCACCAGCCATGAGCTGTGTTTATCACAGCTACTCCGTGTTCAGTGACACGTGAACCTTCATTTATTCCAGTTAACTAAAGGATGTTCATGACCGTCCAGATGTAGGGGGTGATGGGAGAGTGTGGAGGCGGAGCACTGGGGTGGTGTTACCCAGAAGCCCCTGCGGTGCCCCAGGCCCATCCCTGCACCAGCTCCACATCCCCCCCCCCCCCCCCCCCCCCCCCCCCCCACCTCATTTAGCACAATGGCTCAGCAGGATCTCAGTACATATGGATTTAGATGCAGCTACTTTCCACAGATGATCCTCCGTCTCCTGCGAGACACAGACCAGCCCTGTGTGTGCGTGTGTACTTGTGCGTGTCTGTGTGTGCTGTTCAGTTCCCCCCACTCCCCATGGAAAAAAAAAAAACACTCTGCAGAGGATTCGGCAAAAATGTAAGCCGGAGCCACCAAGATGAGATAAAACCCGAGGTGGCTGAAGCGGCTGCCTCAATCGACAGCGACAGAGTGAGGAGTGACAGCGGAGAGTGGCCCGAGGTCCCCGTGCTCAGTGGCCAGCAAACATCCGGATCTGTGAGCATCTTGGTGGTCGGGGCCGATCACACGGCCGGCCGGGGACCCGTTACTCTCTGATGCCCGAAGCCTGCTGCTCCTGGCCGTTTACCCGCGGAGCAGGAGGGGTGTCGGTCACTCCAGGGTGATCCGTCACGCCCGGAAAGTCGAAAACACCATGGGTGTGGGGGGAGATGGGCTATGCAGACTGAGGACACTGCCGAGTATGTAACGATCCTCTGGGCTAAACCGTGATCAGGTGGCCCAAGGAAGTGCGGCCTTACCGGATGCTGATGGCTGCCTGACACTCACTACCGGAGGCGATAACTTTCTGTCCCAGCATGCACTTTTGTGCAAGCCCTCGTGTGTGACATACGCATAACAGGGGTGGTGCGCAAGTCTCTAGCCAGAAAGAAATTTTGCAAGGGGTCGGGCAACACTACCGGCAGGCCCCCCCCTTTGTCGACCAGGGGGCTGAAGCAAATTTCGAGGGGGTTTCAAACCCTTAATTTTACTACTTCACAACATGCCTGGTGGAGTGTGATACAGTGGGTTAGGACTCTAAGGTCACCAGAGAGTCACCGGTTCTACTCCCAGGGTCGGGTGGACTAATGTTACTGTTGGACCCCTAAGCAAGACCCTTAAACCCCAGCTCCGGGGGACGCTGCACGCTGGCTGACCCTGTGCTGTGACCCCCAAGCAAGGCGGGTAGAAGAAAGGAGAATTTCCCCATGGGGGGGTTAATAAAGTATCACTATTCTGTTCGGGTGTATGTGTGTGTGCATTTTGTGAAAGCAGGTGGAGAGTCTTGGACAGGCTCTATGCCCACCCCCCCAGCAGGAATGAAACAATAGCGGGGGTCGCTAAACCATCTCCAAAATGCCCGGCTGGCCGTGGATCGATCTGTCGCCACTGGGTGTGTTCAGGCCGAAGGACGCTAACGACAGGGATCACAGCGCCTGAAATCACTTCAAACAACAATGTCCGTTCCAGAGAGCAGCCCGGAGGAGCTTCAATTACTCAGAAGGAAGATGGATTTCTTCTCGTTTTTTTTCTCCCCTCCTTTTTGCACCATCTGGTTCTGGGTGCTCGAGAGACCTATTACTCCTCACGAGGCATTTCGGAAAACCGTCGGCGCTCCGGTCTGATCCACACGACCGTGAGACGCTCCTCGTCGTCAAAACAAACATGAACCTATCAAATGCCAGTTAAGCTGTCGATCTGATCCTCAATTAGGGCCTGATGAGCCGGGAGCCCTCCAGTGCTGGGGTAAAGCCGTCACCCCGTGCGGAGATCCCAGTAAGTCCACAGAAATATGGTACCTGTTACTGGGAGTCTGGGAGAAGCTGGAGTCAGATTTAATACTTCTGTCATTTCGGGAAGTGGATCCAAATTCGAGCCGGCATTTGATATTTCGGGGCTAAGCACTGTGAATAATCATTCTTCACACACGTCCTGGCGCCGGCCAAAAAGCTCTTAATTTGCAAAGCAGAAAATGAAATGCAGGCAGGGAAGGAGGATCCCGCGCCAGTGAAACCGCAGGAGTGTTTACAGCAAGCCGCGCGCGGACCCCTGCTAATTCTGGGAGTTTTCATCGCAATAAAAATTTCGAGGTTGGCACGGAGCGAAGACTCTCAGATTTCTCTCCAACCCCCACCCCCCCCTCCTTCACCCCAACCCCCCCCCCCCCCCCCCCCCCCCCCCCCCCCACAGCTCGGGTACTCCTCCTGGAAAGCAAACGAGGGCCGACAAGGTGATAAATGTAATCCCGCAGAAGTAAAGGTCAAACGGCCACAGAGGCAGCTGAGTGCCCGTGTACGGTGGGTCCCCACTCTACCAGCTCAGGGACTCACTCTACCAGGCCTGCCACGCATTAATGTCCGTGGGCACGCTGCCCCCTCGATAACCTCATGCGAATCTCACATGAATAAAGCTGTTTCACTGCGTCTGCAAATAACCTGAAAGACGGACTCAAACGAAAATAAGAAATTTTGATTCCAAGATGTGATAAATAATTGAGAGGGAGGGTGGGGGAGATGAACACAGGCGCCCCCGGTGGGGGCTGGCTTTCAGACGGACAGGGGCCGCATTTCGGCTTGTCGCAGTGCGAGTCTCTGTGAGATCGCGCCTGTGAGATTACATTACTGCCATTTCAGGCTGCAGGGCAAACATGAAGTCAGGCCCAGAGCTGGTACAGGCAGACCAGGCTGGCAAAGGACGGGCGCTCCGGCATCAGAAACGCCGGGTGCAAAATGACGATAGTAAACATCCAGTGCGGGGGTCGGTGCGGGGGCGGGGGTCCAGCAGGGTGCAGTCTGAATAGCTTCACGCCTCCCTCAAAGACCACGGCGGCTGCACTCAGACCCACGAAGAGGCAAAAAGAGCCGACATTCCGCTGAAGCTGAACGGAGCAGCTCTGCTCTTTTTTTTTTTTTTTGGGGGGGGGGGATGGGGTCAGTTAACGAGCACAGACCCAACCCACCAGCCATGAGCTGTGTTTATCACAGCTACTCCGTGTTCAGTGACACGTGAACCTTCATTTATNCCCCCACCCACCCCGACACGGTCAAACACTTTGATGGAACATTTGTTCGGATCCCCATTAAACAAAAAAATTTAAGAGAGAAATGACCACGAAAGTCATCGCAATCGCGGCCGACTTTGCCGATAGAGTGTTCCCCCCACCTTGCCAGGTGTGGGGGGGGGCACACAGAAAACCACCCAGCTGCAGTGAAAGAAGCCGCAGTGCCAATCAGGCCTGGCGTTTCATACACGGCCGTTTGGCTTCAGGCTTTCGCCCGCCATTGTATTCCGACTGCCATTCGTCTGCCACAGATTAATTGGCCCTTGGGAAGGGGCCTGCTGGCGGAATCCAGCACGGCGGTGGCCTGTTTCAGTGCTGGTGTTATCTCGCGCCGCAAGCGGCCCGCGGGCTCCTTTCATCTGTATTTAATTTGCTGAGCAAACACGGGCCTTTCGGGCCAGACGGCGATAACGGCGGAACCGAGCCGAGCTGCGGCGAGTCCTGCCGGCAGACCCACCTGGCGCTGGCTCCGTGACGCCGTGGGTCCCCTCCTCCGGGGCGCCATCCAGCTCTGCCTGCCTGCAGTCTGCGCAGACGTAGTCCTCCCTCTGCGGGGCGTCTGCGTCCCTCTCAGCCGGCTGCTCGCACTCCGGGTGGAGCCACCTAGAAGCGTAAGGGAAGGGTTACCCCCACCCGATGGCCACGACTCGGGGGAGGGGTAGTGGATTCTGCCCCATGGCCAGTAAATGCCGAAGCAGTCAGGAGAGACACACGCGGCAAAGGGGATAAAGACTTAAAAACAGCTACGCAACATGGGAATACAAAAGAAGAACAAAACACTGAAACTACATTTCATCCATCCATCCATCCATCCATCCATCCATCCATCAATCCGAACGGCTTTTCCTGATTAGGGGCTGGAGAATCTTCCCTGGATGGGATGCCAGTCCATCACAGGGCAGATACACACAAATGCTCACACGCAATCACATTCCACGGACGAATTTGGAGAGACCAATTCAATCTCCCTCGTTTCATCTTTATTAAAGGCTTAATGGGTATAATTAGAGCCCAGTTTATGGTGTGTCAGGTTATGCTGTCACACTGGATTCACCGTGATAATTCTACGGATCAGCCCGGAATCCCAGGATCCGGCCGAGGCCCGCGTCAGCCAGTCAAAACGAGCGGGTCACACACAGCGGATATCCCGGCTGAACAGTGGAACCAATGCTGTGTGTGCGCCGAGTGTCCCGGGAGATGTGGGACGTGGAGGGAGGGGGGAGGCGTAACCATGGCGACATAAACAACGCAGCGAGCCGAGTAATGGAAGAGGAGTGGAGGTGCGGAAAGCGCTGATGTGTCGCGGTTACGTAGCGCAGCGGGGCCGCGTACCTTCTGCAGAGGTGACAGGACAGCACGTCCTTGTGGAGCTCTGGGTTCCCAGCATTCCCGCAGACCAGGCAGCACCCCGTCGGGTCCTGCTGCTGGAAGCAGCTCTCACACAGCAGGCAGTTGTGGTGCCACTGCGCACTGCTCCTGGTGCCACACTGGATGCATACCCTGCAGTACTGGGGAGAGGAAGAAAGGGGGCGCCGTTAACCACATGCCCCAGCGCGAGCCGTTTCTCCCATCACCAGCAGTCCGGAATGCTCCGAAACAATCCAGCCCTGCCCTCAAACCTTGTACAGGAGTTGGAAGTCAACCATGTAGCGACATGACAGAAGGAGCCGTCTTGGCAGCTGCGGGGACTGACAACAGGCTACTGGAGTCACGCCAAGGTGGCCCCCACACACCACAGTGAATGGTCTGTCCCGCCTGAACTCTGGTCCCCTCCCCCCACTGGCGGTCGCAGTTAAAGCAGTCCGCGGATGGCTTAGAATGACTTAATTTGCTCTGGCAGCGGTGGTTGTTTTCCCAGGCGAAGCGCGCGGACAGGGATTGATTACAGGACGGCCCGGGGCGAGCTGCTAATCAGGGGCTCTAAACGGGGGCGGAGGCGGGGGCAGCCTTGACTCCACCCCCTCCCCCCCACCTCACACACACACACACACACACACACACACACAGCCTGGAGCGCCACCCACCGCACCACTGAGCCAACATCTCCATTCTCATCCCTCCGTTTTGGACCAGGCCGCCCCCTCGCTTCCCTGCTATTCTCTCTGCTCAGCTGGGGGGGGGAGGGGAGACGTGGGTGCGGGGGAAGGGGGGCGGGTGCTATCAGATAGACGGCGATGACTAGACGTGTGGTGCGAGCTCCATTAAAAAATAATCGTAAAAATATGAGAAGGAGCAATTTCATTACTGGGAAAATAGAAAAGCAGATACATCCATTTCTTTTGCCTGAGCCTGAGGACGCAGCGGCCCGTCGCTGGCACCCAGTACACCTATGAAGAAGTCAGCACTCACACGAGCCCCCCCCCCCCCCCCCCCACCCCGACCCTCCTGACCCGTTTGCTTCAGCTACAGCACCAGAGTACGCTGCAATTTCCGATAATGAGCGAGAGTGAGGAGGTGTTGTGAAGGAGAGGGACTCCCAGCCAGAGAAACAACAAAAGCAGTTACATCCCCCCCCCCCACCTGCTTTGCCGACCCGTACCTTACACCTCCACCCATTCGTGGGGATGGATTCCATCACAGGCTGCAGGCAGAAGGTGTGGTAGCCTTTGTCGCACATGTCACACACCAGCATCTTGCTGTCTTCTCCCGGGTTTCTGAAAGGAAGCCGATCTCAGATGGTTATCATTCGTTTAGCCGCTATGTGGGTGACTATTAATAATATCGCCACCTCCACGATGGGGCGAACCGGGCAGGGACGGCCACCGCGCTGCTCCAGCCTCTGCGCGGCAGATGCCTGTTTGAGGCTCCAGCCCCTATCGTGCCTCTCGGTTCGCGTGGGGGGCGGAGTGAGCCTAGGGTGACACCAAGCCGCAGCTTCCGGCTTGCCTGAGTCAGGTTCACGTGAAACTCTGGGGCACCGGAGTGAGGGGGGGGGGCGCGGCTCAGCCAGGAAGCCGCAGGAGCGCCATGCTCTGCTGAGACGCTGAAACCTCACACCCACGGGCCGGCACTCTCAGAGCGTTCACTGGTTTCAGATCCCCTGCTGATGCAGGCTCACCTCTCGTTACCAGGGCAGCGTCTGAGCTTTGGGTTACGCCTCGATAAACAGGGCTAGGGCTGCCGGAGCACACTGTCACCCCTGCCCCCGCCCCCGCCGTTAGACCGGCTCCGCAGATGGGTCATGGCGCCCCGGTCGCCGGTCAGGCGGGACTCACTTGCATGTCTGGCACACCTTGCACTCAGGGCACTGCCAGCCGGCTCGCTTGAGCGGGGTGGGGGCCACGTCCAGGCACACGCCGTGGTAGTGCTGCCCACAGCTGGTGCAGAACAACTGGTCATGCAGATCGCCGGGGCTGTCACACACCGCGCAGTTGGCCTGCTCCTTGGCTGCGGGCAGTGGGGACAGACATGGGGACACGTGTCAAGGGACAGCGAGCTGCATCGTTTGTTCATGCTAACGCCCTGGTTTCACTGATTTGTGCCAACGCTAAATGCGAATGCTGACATTAACACTAATGCTTCTAATGTTTCTGAGGCCCTACTCAGAAAGTCACAGGTAGTGACTCAGGGTAGTGACTGCTTATGGCCAATGAATGATTTGAGTGGTGGTAAACACTAACGCTGGCTAACACTAATGCTGATGTGACAGATCAGTGCTATCACTAACCCTGATGGATCCATGCTAACGCTAATGCTAAAGCTTATTTGACAGGTCAGTGCTATCACTAACCGTGATGGATCCATGCTAACGCTAAAGCTGACTTGACAGATCAGTGCTATCACTAACCATGATGGATCCATGCTAACGCTAAAGCTGACTTGACAGATCAGTGCTATCACTAACCCAGATGGATCCATGCTAACGCTAATACTGAAGCTGATTTGACAGATCAGTGATATCACCAGGGCTCTCGAATCTCACACACTGACAGTGCGACACACACCTTTGAACCAGTTCACGCGCTCACACGCCACACCTTGTGTTTCTCACGGCGAGAAGTGAAGGGATAACGCCCACCGAGGTGTCCCGTTATACAGAATCATTAGACGAGGCGCAGGCATACGGAGTTTCCCCCCCGAGTTCATAGCTGTACCGAGTTATACAGGGTTAACAGCCACCTACCAGCCAATTTGTTGTTTCCGGGTAAATTCCTAAATACGTAACGTGTGATCCCACTGCAAGCACATTATTACATATAAACATACACACACGGAGTTCAGACAAGGTGGAAGTGGAAGAGCAAGACCGAATCAGTGTAGCAGGCAGGATTTCAAGCTTCCCGCCTTGACTGTGAGATACACTGACAGATCTCACTCCAAACAGGGCTATCACTAACCCTGACGGATCCATGCTAACGCTAGTGTCTAAGGTGATCTCACTTTTTAATGCTAACATTGCTAGAGGGCATGTTTCTCTCAAGGATATAAATATATTGCTAGCGAACAGGTGAACTGTCTTTAGGCAGATGTGCCATGAACTCAAGCTAACAACATGCAACTCTTCCGTTGCTGATGAAGTGAGGCGTCTGACTTACCGCGCTCGACGGCCTGCTGGATGTGCTCGGGGCACAGGAGGCTGTAGCTCCGGATGTCCTGGAAGGTTCCGGCGGCGGGGGCACACGGGTAATGGTACGAGCGTTGGCACGTCTTCTCACAGCACCTGACGGACGCTCCAAGGCGTTTACAGTACGCACAACGCTGCGGGAAGGGGGGGGGGGGAGAGAGATCGGAGAAGAGCCATTATTATAAAAATGCAGAAATTTTTGGGAGATATGTGTATAGAGATATACTTATGTTATAACACACACACTGATCATATGGCTATCAACAGCACGGGAAGCTTAGACAGGCCCAGAGCGGAGAGCCTTCCTCATGGGGAGTTTTAAAACCCCTCCCACAAAGCATCCAGCTGACGGTCACCATCGGCAACGTGTCCGTCTGTGGATCGTCCGCGTCGTCAAGCCACCATCCAAACCACGTCGGCAACATAACTACTGACTCCATAAGAAGCTGACTCAAAGTCACCTCTGGAGACAGCTCTGTAAACAACTGGGCCGAGAGATGAGGCCGTTACTGCAATCCCTGCCAGAGCGCATGTCGCGGAAATAAAAAGACAAACAGCAACAAACAGGAACCAGATCAACACACAGCTCGTCTGACGGATGACACTCTGGGCCAACTCTGTTCACGCTTCATCTTCTTTTGTTTACTTTCAGGTCTGGACCAATCGATGGCACCATCTGGGGGCTAAGCCTGGTCTACCAATAAACTAGAGCACCTCTCACACACACACACACACAAACACACACACACACACACAAACACAAATGAAGCAGGGAACTGAACTTTAAGGCATCTACTTCCAAATCAAACAAGGAACCTGTCAACATACATCTCCAAGTTTGCGAGCTGGGCAGCTGTCTTTCACCTGCCCCAAGGCAGCATCCCTCGCACCCACAGCGCCCCCTACCTGCAGGCTGTCATCACACACCGACAAACATTATTGGGGTGAAGACGGCCAGGCGTCTCCTCACTTAGGACCAACCATCGCTATGGCAACAAGCAATGGGGCTTCTGCGCTCAGAGTCCCATACCTCCGGGAATGAGGAATTACACCGACTCTGTGAGAGTTTATATATCTGAGGTCATTAATTAATCTTCCTAGATGCAGCATTTAGTAAAGACCTAAAATAACCATTTATAGCAAAAACCCTCCTCTCTCACAAATCACTGTCCCAGCTCGGCCCTTTTTATTTCATCTGCTGATTCAGACCTTGGCAACAGATAAAGTCCTAATTAAAATTAAAGTTGAACAGCGTAGCAGTCGGTGGTATCTAATTAAAAATATCTAAAGATCACAGGACCCTGCTATGCCTCTGGTCGTCTGTCCCACCAAGGAACAACAATTCTTAATTAATCACAGTTAATTATCACAATGATATGGCAGTTTGTTTCCATTATAATCCTTTAGCAGAACTTATCTTTTTACCTAAGAACATCCGAAGTCCAATGCAGACAAAGGAACTATTTGCTGGTAGAGGAAATTCATGGTTCCTAATAAAACTATGGCAAATTTGTCCGTCCTATCCACTCTAAAAATAGTGAACATCAGCTAACCGTTTGTCTGTCTCTCTCTCAGGCTGTCTCTATGTCTACCTCTCCATCTGTCCGTCTTACTCTCCATCTGTCTTTCCATCTCTCTGCCTCTCCATCCGTCTTGTCTGCCTCTACATCTGTCTAGCTTTCCATGCCTGCCTCCGTCCTCACGCATGTCTTTCCGTCTGTCTTTCCATATGTCCGTCAGTGCTCGTTTGTCATTCCATTTGTCAGTCTCTGTCTGTCTGCTTTTCCGTCTGTCTGTTGGTAGCTGTCTATGTCTGTCTGACATTCCGTCCGTCTTTCCGGCTGTCTGTCTGCTGAGAGAAGCAGCAGGAGAGGCACACGAGGGCCCTGGGGCCCTCTGTCTCACCTGTGTGCTCCCTGAGTGGATGGCTCTCTCCACCTGGATCAGCGCCTGTCCCTCCCCCCGGCTGAAAACCTCTGACCACGACGCACAGCGCTGGTGAACGAGGCATCGCCCTGAAAAAGGGGGGGGGTGGGATATGGGAGAAAAGGTTCAGGAGTGAAGGCCACCTTGGTGCCATTGGTGGGGGGGGGCGGGGCATGCTCTCACACAAGCCCCGCCCACCTGCTGAAGGACACGGCATCCCTCCTTTTTTAAAGCCATTTTTAAAAAGCTGCACACACCAGCCGGGAGGTTTGCTGAGGAAGCGACAGTCGTTTGTCGACACTCAGTGCTGTAAGTGTTGGGAGGGGGCTGAAAATAGTACGGCGAGAGAGGCTGGTTACACTAACGACGAGATAAGCGTGCATCCAAGCAGAGGTGCCGTGCGGGGGCCACACGGCCGGTGGCCTTGCGGTATGCTCGCCCGGCACACTCTTCGGCGACTCACCTGCCGGGTCGAAGAGCGACCGCGCGTCAGTGTCATCAGGGAGGCCCACCTGGCCCAGCTCGTCCCACAGCTTGCTGGGCGGCTCCTCTGCCGGCCGAGAGGGAGCAGTACTGGGAAGGAAGGAAGGGCCATCACTACTCAGAGATCAGTCTGTGAGCTCTGACACAGGGCACGGAGGAATCAGAGCTCACAGGGGCTTCTGCCAAATGTACCAGGTCAGCAGAAAACAAACCAGGAACGACTCGGCAGGCGCTAGGGAGACTGGGAGCCCTGGGAATGCTGCAAAGCCCACAAGGTATCACAGTCTCACATCCATACTCTTCCGAATAAAACAGAACACGATTCCCTGTCACGAGATCCTTGCAATGGTGAAGAATTCCCTAGAACATCTGCGAGTGACTGCAGACTATCCATCGGAAGACGACCGACATCAAGGAACGGCGGCGACCACGAGGCGGAGCGAACAGTGCGGTCTGTCACAGCACCACAGATGCGATCAGCCTTCCATTCATCCTCAGATCCCTCAGATTCTCCCCGCCTGATTCGCAAATCGTCACACGACCCGAGCGCCGGCATCTGCCACCGGGCCGGGGGAACTCTCTTCGTCTTTCAGTGCTTGCTGTATCTCTAGGCCGGCCAAACGGGTGGGACTGAAATGCAGCCCCCCCCCCCCCCCAGCTGCGTCCGTGGGGCGTCCATAACAGCACCAGGTGATCGTCCGTCTCTGGGGAAGCCCCGGACCTCCTACAAAAGCCGCCCCCCACCTGCCATTAAGACGCATCGGTCAATTGAAGGCATTCAGCTTCGTATCCTGTGAACAATTTAATTGCGCACAGCGTCAGCTCGACGGGCCAACCGTACAGCACACTGCATCAGACACCTCTCTTTGTTTTTGTTTTCATTCCTCCACCCACCAACCTCCCCCCCCCAACACCTGGCGCTGGTCCAGCCCCGCTGACCAATCGCACGCCTCCAGCGCAGCAGCAATGTGCTGATTGGCCGCCTGCCAGCACCGTACTCCGTGCCCATTACATCACCGGACCCCCCTCGGGGGGGAGTCGATTGGCTGTGCTGAGCCAAAAGAAATGAGTGTGGGGCCCAAAAAGATGACGGAGCACCTCTGGGAGGGAGCCTCTCTTACAGCGCTCACGTGTCAATCGCGCGCCATCCAGGCCAATAACAATATTAAAAGCAAAAAATTGCTTTTCTTGACGAAACCAGTAACAGTTCGGCCATTTCAATAAATGTAAAAACAAAATAATAAATGACACAAACTACAAACTAGCTCCCAGTGTCAGAACATGAGTTTAGACATAAAATTCCTGCAAGTAAGAGCAATAAAAACCGAAAAACTACATAAAAATTTTATTACTCGATTAATGACCATTCTTGAGATGTAAAAAAAGAGAACGGCTATATTCACAGAAACCTCATCTCTAAACGTGACCCAACTCTAAGCTCCCGGTGTCCCCTCCCCCACAACGGGAGGTTTGGACTGTTCCATCAGAGATGCTATGGAATATACAGACTGGACTGTTCCACTCAGGAGCGGGGGGGGGGGGGCACACACTGCTTCACATACGGGGAACGGGTATCATTTTCACCATCCCCGACAACAGTCCCCGTCTGCCCTCTGTCAAACTCCAGCACAATATGAAGACATAATTACCCCGGTCTGGCACTGAGCAGCTATTAACCGGCAAAAAAATAAAATAAAACCAGCACGCGCGGAATTATTTAATCAAACAAAAAGGCAAATTATTTTGGGCCCGGGGGTGGATGAGGCTAACCGGTTACACGGCATTACACAATACACGCCGGTGCTTCAGCAGAGAGCTGATTAGATCAGGGTGCTTAATTGCTTTCCTAGAAAACGAGGCTGTCTGGGTGAATTATATCGGACTCCCCCGCGCAGGTTACAGTGGTCCGTTCCATCTGTCAGGAGCTTCTGAGCAGGATCCCCGGCCCTTGATACCTTAAGGGTAATTCATAGATTAGCATCCTGCCCACTGCTGCTCTTTCAGTCTGAAGGCCTTTCACAGAGAACATCACGCTTACCTTGAAGGAGTCTGCTCCTGGTCTCGCTGCCCACCGCTCCCTCCGGGATCGGCCTGGGGAATCTGTCCCGGTTGCGGTCCAAACCACCTCAGCTCGCCCTGCCCCAGGAGGCTGCGTGCCCCACAGTGACACAAGGCGCACAGCTGCTCGCTGTAGGGGAATCAGCATCAGGCTCAGTGCCAGTTTAGCTCCCCCTAGTGGTGAGCCCATTCAAGCCTTCCGACAGAATTTTCATCTCGTTGGGGTTTTTTTTTTGGTCTGCTTAACTGATCTGTTAAATTGGATCCAATGCAGCAGCCATACTGTGACAGTAAAGGTCTACTAGCACGTAAAGCGGACCAAATCGGACCAATTAAGATAACTGATAAGCTCTGCTGGTCTCGGATGGCATTTCTCCCAGGGCTGAAGGGTTAACACCCCCATATATTTAACTGAAGATGAACTCAGTGCTTCACACGTCCACTTGCACACACACAGAGACACAAAAAAGCTATACCCGGGCTCTGGCATTCGCTCAACACATCATAATGCCGATTCATCTGCTTACGGTTAAGAAGATAAGAATGGGGGTGTCTGAGACCGCCGACCACACCAAATATACACAGTATCTTAGCAGCCCCAAAGCTCAGCTGCGCAGTAAATGAACCTTCCTGAATAAGTGCTGGATGTAATCAGCTGCCGACACGTGACGTCCCAGTGCAGATCATCCGGTGCTCTACTCCATGAGTCACTGCCAGTCATCCCCCCATCCCCCACCCCCCCCCCCTTGCAATGCGCTTCAGGAAGTGGAGTAACGGAACAGTGTTAATTGTTCGACGTGAATCTGAAGCGCAAGGATTTGGGGAATAAAGAAAAAAAAACGGTTTACTATCCCATCCACAGTCCACTTCTGTTTTACTGAGAAAAAACAGCACTTAAGGACAGCCAGACGGACAGGGTGCTGTAAATATTTATCAGACGGCCAAGTGCAAAATGAGGGTCTTTAATAAATTCTCACCCATTAAACCCGGGTAGGGGGGGGCTGTCACAGAGATGGATTACAGGCCCTCTCAGAGAGTGGCGTGCCCTGTTTCTTTGTTGGGTCGGGCTGTAGTGTGTTCCCACACGTGTGTTTTACTGCACAGAGACACCAATCGCCATTCCCGTCACAACGTGATGACACAGGAAACTGCACCCCGCGGTCGGTAGCTCGGCACGGACGACACCGTTCCTCTGCACCACGCCCCTTTAACACGGCACGAATGCAGCTTGCCGCTCCAGAGGAACGCGCCGGGCCGTCTGCACGAAGCGAGAACAGCACCCTCACCCGCGTCACGCCAGGTCGCCCCCGGGCCCGGCCGGCTTCCGCTGGCTCATGCCGTCTCATTACCCAGAATTCATGGCTGTCGCCCTGGCACCTCCACCCTCCCACATCCTCACCCACCGGACCACAAGCACACGCAGGCACACGGGCACTATGCAAGGCTGCTGGCCCAAGGACAGACACACAGGCGTCTGTAACCGCCCCCATGTGCACACGCGACCACACACACTGATACGGGAGAAAAAGAAACCACAGATATAACTTCCTCTTTTTGGCCCTGGGCCCCTAACACACACCCACCCACACACACATGGGCATGCACGCACACACACACACACACACACACACACACACACGCACATGTAGGGTAAACATATCCTTATGGGGACCGCTCATTCATTTCAATGGGAAAAATGCTAACGCTAACTATGACAACCTTAACCCCTACCCTGCCCTAACCATAACCATAAGTAACCTAACAAAATACAAGAGTTTTTGCATTTTAAGTTTTTTCATAGCAGTCACCGATTTTTATAAAATAGAGTTTTCCCTTATGGGGACCAGGAAACCGGTCCACATAAGGGAGAAAAAACGGATATTTATCACGTTATGGGGACATTGTGTCCCCATAAGGATAGGTAAACTCACTCACACACACACACACACACACACACACACACACACACATGCACACACACCATGTCAGAGTCTCTAACCTCCCTCTGGCCTCTGATGAAGCTGATTCTGCCCAGGGCTCTGGCTCCGGGTGCTGGGGCGGCGTGGACGGCGAGATGGCTGGTTCTCCAGAACCTTCCGTGGGCTGGCCTCCCTCGCTCACCTCCTGCGGCTCCTTCGTTTCTGTAGGGAGGAGTAAACGCTTCAGATTGACCATCTCGGACACCCCCCCGGCTCACATTTCCACAAGCCAACCCCGCGGCTCCCTCACGGTACCGAAACCGGAAATGCACAAATAAATTCTTCCCTATTTAGATGGTTAGGGGAAACAGAGAGCTTCTACAGCACAGACACCTGTGGAGGAGAAGTAAGTACCGCCGTCCGCTTCAAATGTTACCTCTGTCTGCGAGTTTAAATAGACCGTGCGATGGGTCACAGTGACATCACGTCTGGGTCACACTGATGACATCGTGATCAGGAAGAGACCACGCGAAACCCCAGCCTGCCCACAGAGGGCGATACACGCAATGCCGCGAGCAACAGCAGGTTAGGGGCCTGCGGGTGTTTCTCAACATGCGCACTTGCTGCCTTTGCTGAAGACCAGTTCCAATATTCGTGAACAAAAGTACGGAGGAGGGTAAAAATCCCGGGATGTCGTTCTTGCCCCGGCCCAAATATCACAGATACATCCACTTGCATCCTCGCCGAATGAGACCGATCCTATGACTCGCTGCAGCCCAAGATCGTTCTTGGAAGGAAATTTAGCAAGACCGCACGTACCATCTTTGCAATTCTTGGTATTGAGATTCACCCCTAATCTCACAAAGGGGTCCAGCTGTTGTACCCTGAAACGCCCTCCAGCACTGAATGGGAGCTGTTCTGCTCCATCGCACCCAGGAGGTCAGGCTACTTTGATTTACCCTTTCCACGGCAGATACTGGGGTCCTGACAAAGAGTCTCCTGTGGAAACTCCCATCTTCGGGTCCCGGCACGTTTCACCAGAGCTCTGGCGACCGCTGATCACTGAAGTCCCCAGGCAACCCTACGGTCATGCTCTGTGTCGGCAGGCCCATCTGTCACCAGCTAAAGACCCTCTGCCAGAGGCGGGGGGGTGTAAACAGGGCCTGCTAACAGGGGGGGGGGTCAGTGCTCAGAGGCAGACCGCTCAGAAGAGCTCAGAGTCACCTGTCTAAGGAGCCCCATTATCTGACAGTCACTGCAGGCCTGGGAACAAAAATCCATCCATCCATCTTCCCACGACCTCCTATTCCAGGCAGTATAGTCCATACACTATAGCACATAATGGGCATTTAGGAAACTTCAATTTAAACACGTCATTTTGGGCTGCAACGCACGTGCAGTCAGGATAGGAATCTAACCTGGGAAGCTATAGACAAGGGGCAGCAGCGATAGGTCCTGCTCCACCGCGCGAGCCAATGACGGGCAGGGCAAGCTTGTGTGCCAAACCCCTGTCAAAACCCCTCTTTAGCAGAAAGGCTCAGGGCGCAGGCCCCCCCGGGCCTTCCCGAGAAGGGATCCATCATCCGGTGGTGACCCCAGTCCCACCGCCGCTGTGAGAATAAACAGCCTGAGCATAGAGGTGCGGAGAATGCAAATCAGCACCCCCCCCCACCCCCCAGGGGTGTGAGTGGAAAGAAACCAACAGAGCGCGCATGGCGGCGCTCCATGCAGCCGGTGTTGCTGGTGTCTGCCCCGGCTGCTGCGTGCTGAGGCGCCAGAAGAATGAGGGAAGGTGGATGAAAATGGACGAAGCACTGCTTCCACGAGCCAGCCAGTGCAGCGAGGGCTTCCCACGGTCACACGGGGAGACCGTGCGGCGCCCCCTGCTGGAGGAGATTGCACCAGAACGCGGAGTCACCTTAAACAGCACCTCCGAGTCCCATCTCGGGCCTGCACTGTCACACATTAAAGATTAAACCGGGGGAATGGCGGAACCCCACCGACACCAACCACATCCACTTCCTGTTTACTGAAAAGCCGTCTCCGGGAAAGAACCTCCCCATTTTTTTGATACACGGCGGACAGAGGACGTGTAGGGAGAGAACGGACTGAAGGACGGTGGTTCACATAGACAAGCCAATGCGATCTGAGAGCCTGAAAACAGAGCAGCTCTGCAGCATGTGATAAAGACTGCTGATTTCACTCCAAAAAGGAAGTCCCTCACAATCTGATGCAAAAGGAGCTGCCCCCATGCCATTGGCTGACCTGGACTTCAATCCGGGATGAACAGCCAATCAAGAGAAAACAAGCTCATGTCCCACCCACCCAGCCAGCAACCTAAATATCCACTTTAAGGAGGTACCGATAATGAAGAAAAACTTACCCATCTGCTGAGGGCTCTCGGATTCCGCCGCCTCAGTCCCGTCCATGCTGTCCTCATCTTCACCCGCCGCCTTTCCTCGGCTGCGGGGCCTGAAAATTATGAGAGCAATACATGATGCCTCCATTCTCCTCACAAGAACTACTTTAACTATTGTTGATGTAGGGTGGAGCCTACGACATCAGAAGGGAGGGGCCCGGGGCCAGGATGGGTGGAGCCTACAGCATCAGAAGGGAGGGGCATGGGGGGGCAGGCTGGGTGGAGCCAAGACATCAGAAGGGAGGGGCCTGGGGCCAGGATGGGTGGAGCCTACAGCATTAGAAGGCCGGAGCCTACAGCATCGGAAGGGAGGGGCCCGGGGCCAGGATGGGTGGAGCCTACAGCATCAGAAGGGAGGGGCATGGGGGGCAGGATGGGTGGAGCCTACAGCATCAGAAGGGAGGGGCATGGGGGGCAGGCTGGGTGGAGCCAAGACATCAGAAGAGAGGGTCCTGGGGCCAGGATGGGTGGAGCCTACAGCATTAGAAGGGAAGAAGGGAGGGGCCTGGGGCCAGGCTGGGCGGAGCCTACAGCATTAGAAGGGCGGAGCCTACAGCATTGGAAGGGAGGGGCCTGGGGCCAGGCTGGGCGGAGCATAGAGAATCAGCAGGGAGGGGAACATAGCTGTGATGGGGGATCCCTTATAGCAGGGAGAGGCACAGGGCCTCGATGGGCAGAGCCGACAGCATCAGCAGGGAGGAGCATAAAAGGTTTTATTTATAATTAAGAAGGGAAGACGTATGACTATTTGGACCTTGAGCAAGGCCCTCATAAGACAGCAGTATGAGATACGGCAAAACCAAAGATATCCTATGTTTGTACAAATGGCATATAGAAGTATCATTATCAGCACTCAACAAACAAAAAGGTTTTCAGGGGTCAAGAGAGGGCATGGTCATGCACACAAATTATCAGCAATTAGCCAACAGTATATACACAGTAAATCACCGTTAATCATAAATACACTTTGTCTGGCTTAGTCACAGATTTAGTCACAGGTAGGGAGTCAATGAACGGACAAAGACCTTCAGAAGAGTCAACCTTCTGCCCTATATACACAGGCTTTAAGAATGTGTGGACGACGAACTGGTTAAACTGATCATCTGGATCAGCCTTCATGACACGCGACGGAACCCTTCAGTGATCAGGCCTTCTCGCCAGGTTCACAGCATTTTCTTCACGCTATCTGCTCTCTACCACAGCGATGCCACCCAGCCATCACCAGGAATGTGCAGCCATTTGCACGTGAGGGACAGAATTGTCCAGTATGTCAATCCCTGTTCCCAAAGCCACTCAAATGAAGACCTTTACTCTAACCCTTCACGCACTTGTGGCTCAAGCTGGGCCATGTTCTCCAGATTGTTGTTGAGGGCACCTAAAAAATTAAGTTTATGGTGGTTCTCTTCCGGCTGGTTGTCGTAGGGTTTTGGTTATCATGGTTTGAGATGCCCGAAGCATAGCTGAGAGCTTTCGGACTTGGACTCCGTTTCACAGACTCTCTGCGTGGCCCCCAGGCTTAGTGGCCCTCCATTTTTGGAGTCCACCTTCTCCTGCCCTCGCTCGTATCCTGACGGGTCACTCTGCCACCGCAGGGTTGAGTCCAGTCACCCCCTCATCCGCTCCGATGATGTCAACGCGGCAACCAGGCCATCTCTCCTATACCCCGGCAGCCAATAGTGCAAGAGTTGCCCGCAGCCAGTACTTGGCCGCCTGTTGCCATAGTAACATCATCTTGTGTCTTGCAACTGACGCCAAACCTCCAGAACAGCAAAGTAGATTTATTTCAAGAGCAGATGGAAAAGTAGTGCTTTGGACCAATTTCTTAAATCCGTTTACTTTTAATGTGCGTTGTTATTTTAAATACAAGCTAATTTTCACAAAATACAAATCAAATAAAACCAAATAAAGACAAACATTCACATGAAAAGGGAAAAACGGGAAATTAGCCATTTCTGACAGACTGTGAGAATAAAATCGGGATAGGCTGATGGAGACTGACCCTTGACCTTAGAGCGACAGCTCCTTGGCTCCTAGATTTTAGCTTCATTTATGGCAGGGACAACAAGAAGGTAAAATTCATACATCACCACACAACCGCATTTCCGAAGCAGAGATGAGACCCAAACAGCTTTTATGGAGCTGTACAGCTTCGCTCAGTCCGGCAGCCAATGCGCTTTGAACCGTTGGTGCATAAACCCAGCGCCTCTCGCAATCTCAGCTACCCCCCCCCCCCCCAGATGCTGGGAGGTCTCCGCTCAGTTGTGTTTCCCTCCCTTGCTCCGGCTGACTCGCAAGGGCCTCTCCGGACACGCTAGCCTGTTAGCCATCCTCCCACTGTGGAGCTTATCTGAAAGGCAGAGGGCAGCGAGCGCTCCGGTCCAGTCCCACAGCCATTAGCATGTGCCGTTACTCCTCCATCCTTCGCTGCGGGCGAGGTTGTTTACGTGAAGTACATGCTGGAGAGGATCCTCAAGGCTGGCTGCTCAGCACGGGAGCTTATAATCCTAATAATACGGTAGCACTTCAGCCTTGAGTGCCGTCACATGGGAGATGACATGGGGTCTGAGTATGAAACATGGTAATAGGGAATCGAACAAAATGTTTTCAGGATAACGTGTGCGACTCATGTCACTCTGACATAAAAACTGAACCGAGGAAAAAAAGCCTTTACAAAAGGAGGAGGAAAGAAGCACCCAGTCAGGACTGGCTAAGGACAAAAGAGCACGGTCTGCGGCACCTGAAATGGTGTCAAACCAGTGCTGAGTGATCCGGGGCAGGATTAATTACACGACAGTAAAAATAAATAAGCTTAAAAAAAAAAACCCAAAAGCTTCAATGATTCCCAGCCTACACACAACAAAAGGACCCCCCACAAGTGCTTGTAAACAATCCTCTCCTTGACGTTCCAGCATTATGACATGGTTAGAGGCAAGGGAAGATGGCTCCACATGTTCAACGCCTAGAAGAATCTTCACATTGAGCAGCACAGCTGACTGGCGGAGAGTGAGGAGTTCTGGGCGAATGAAAGTCGTCTCGGCTGATTTCAAAAAGCTTCATACAACAAAAAAACAAAAAGAAACACATACACACACATACAATAGACAATCTGTAAGCTGAATAACTTTGTAAATTCATTAGAATGGGGTTGTGCATGGATATGGAGCCAAATAAACCAAACTACCAGCAGAGTCTTTAGAGAGCCTTAAAATTTAAAGACTGAAACTGTGTGTTCCGGGCTGCGGGTCTGTTTCAGAACCGGGTCCGGTTGTTAAATTTTACGGTTAATTCAGCATGCGAGGAACATGATGAACTCAGCTTTGACTCAGAGGAAAGCTGGCTGCTTTAAAAACAGCCCAATGAACCTTGAGTTTTTTCCGTGTTTGCGGACTTCTAGGTCCATGGCGATTCACACGCCGTTCACCCGTCTGGACACATGCCACGCGGTGGCAGCGGCCCCCGGGGTCAGTCACCTGACAGTGAAACTTGAGGGTCTGGGTGGAGCCCGTAAAGGGGAAGGGAAACCATAAAGTCAGGGGGTGGAGCCTCAGCCCTGGGGGTGGGGTTAGGGGTGATTCTAGGATTGTTTTTATGGTGGGTGGCATAAGAGGAACCACAATTCAAACGCAGGGACCAACCCTATCATTAGCCAATGATATGTTGTTGATCAGTGAATGACAGGGGAGGGGCACTCCAGGGACCAATCAGCTTTCAGCGAGGGCCAGTGCCCTAGTGGCCCTGTCCACAGGGGGTACCTGTGCAGTTAAACCCATGACAATAACAAGTGTCCAGTCCCTCACTTACTCACATTACCACCACCTAGCACACAAAGGAGGGGCGGCATGGTGGTGCAGTGGTTAGCACTGTTACCTCACACCTCTGGGACCCAGGTTCGAGTCTCCGTCTGGGTTACACGCATGTGGAGTTTGCATGTTCTCCCCGTGTCGTCGTGGGGTTTCCTCCAGGTACTCCGGTTTCCCCCCACAGTCCAAAGACATGCTGAGTAACTAACTGGAGCTACTAAATTGCCCGTGTGTGTGTGCCCTCCGAAAGGCTGGCCCCCCCATCTTGGGCTGTTCCCCGCCTCACCGCTGTAGCTTCTGGGATAGGCTCCGGACCCCCCGCGATGCAGGAGAATAAGCGGGTTGGAAAATGGATGGATGGATGGATGGATAGTACTGGATAGTACATAAAGGACTTACAACGCTGGTACTTCATCATACTACTAGAATGTTACTCGAGATTTATACATACACATTTATTATTAAGTTACATGTCCCTCTATCCTTTTTCCAACGCATGCAGACTGTTTTGTGGTTTACAGAGAGGCTCCAGACATCCTCCAAACATAAAGCAGTTTTTTGGTGGGGGGGGGGGTTCAACATGCCACCATTTCCGCAAGGGCTGCCACGTGACATCGCTATTAGGCGGTAATCTGCAGGCCCGGGGAGGTCGCGTGCCGTCCCACACACAGAGCAGCTAGGGCTCCCACCTTGCTGGGGAGCTGCGCGGAAATCCCTGGCGGGAACAAAGAGGGGCCCGGAGGGGGAGCCGAGCGGGGCCCCGAGAAGCCGGCAGGGGCCGCAGACCTGCGACGTGCGTCTGTATTATGAGTCACCATGAAGGCCGGGCATCGCGAAAAGGGAACAGAGCATCGGACAGGCGGGAACAGAGGTAGCAGGCAGGGAGGGCAGGTAGCTGGATGGATGGATGGATTTTGATAACAAAACAAACCCAGGTTTGCACTACTCAAGGCCTCCATACTGTCCCGGTGTTGGGGGGGGGCACATCAACCAAACAAAAGAAAAATCTCACAACGTGTATCAGGGATCCAGGAAAAATGGCAAGAAAGCGGCGATACATGTCCAAGGCAGACAGAAACGCGCTTTCTCAACGACAAAGGAGGCGATCGCAAGTTCCTGCTGCATCTCAGAAACTTTCCATTAATATTTCATGCAAGCCCCTTTGTTTCATGACGAGACAAACCAGGCAACAAACAAAAACAAACAAACAAACAAAGCTGGCGCTCCTGCCTTTCAGAATGAAGAGGAAAGCAGCCCTTTCTTTACAGAACAAAACCTAACAGGGTGCTAGGAACCCAACCCCCCAGCCCTGTACATTATAACTTAGCTTCATGATCCCCCTACAGTGGGGGGAGAGAGAGGGGAAAAAAAGCTCTGGTAAGTAGTTCCAGCTCAGAGAGCAAAAGGGAAATACTGGCGCGGAGCGGCCGGCCGCTGGAGGGCACGCCCCCCCTCTGCACAGCGCCGGGCTCCCAGCATGCACTTCACTCCCTCGCTCCCCGCTTCAGTTGGCAGCCTGTAGTTTGGGATTCGGCCCTGTTAAACGTACTGCGCCAAAATAATATATTCATGCTCTATAAGTATTTTTAGTCAGTCTCACACGGGTCCGGCGACCAAACGGAGCTGCATTTTCCTGGCCTGTGCTGCCGATTGCTCGCAGCCAGCGCTCTTCCTTCTTAATTAGCCCTAAACGAGACGCTGAAGGACTAACCAAACGCATCTGACATTTCCGGAGTCTCGCTGACACAAAAAGGCTTTTTGCCGTCCCGACACACTGAAAAAATTCTTAACTTCACTGCTCTTTTTTTAATTTAAACATACACTTACCGCCTTGAGACAAATTATTTAGAGCATCTGAAAGGTTTTTATTAACAATTATCCAACAAATAATTACCAGTTGAAAGAGACAAATGAACGAAGTTTAAAATGATATATTTGCATTTTATTATTCACATAAACATGTTTTTCATTTTCCCTGCCAGGACATGTACTTGCGGCCATCAGACACGACGCGCAGGTTCGTCCCCTCTAACGAGCCAATTAAGCCTAACTGACAGGGAGACTGGGCTGGACAGCAGATTGTGCTGTGAATGTGACCAGGAGGGATGTGTCACAATGGGAGACGTCTCAGCATTACACACACGGCAGTGATGTGTGAGTCGCTTCATGCTGCAGAGACCTTTCCGTGTCGTGCGCACGCACGCACACACACACACAAAACGCTTGTTTACTCAACACCGCGAGCAGCCGCCGATTCGTTTCAATGTGAAATTTGCTGCTTAATTTTGCCCTGAGACACAATGAAAGCTGATAAAGAAGTTTCTGCAGTCTGATTAACGACGAAGGGTGTTTTAAGGCACAAATACGTTCCAGTGTTTAGTGTCCACGATGGGATTTTTAAGGTTAGGGTTAAATGCACAGGGCATGTGAAAGAAGTAACAGGACCTCATGGTGTGTTACAGAGGAGAACCTGCTGTGTTACTGTCACAGAGAAGCACAAAGGACAGGACTGGGGTAATCCTCTCACACGGCACCAGCATGGCCGACTCATACAGTATATCTAGGATAGGCCCATAATTGTCACATAACCTAGGCAGGCTGCTGATGTTGGGGGGAATCCAAGGTCCAATCAGACACAGGCATTATGCCAGACAGACACCTGTGAACGAGCTCATTGGACGCTACAGCCAAGGGGCCAGCACAGAAGCTGATTGGCTCCTCTTTGTGGTATTTCAGGTCATTTACCAGGAGTTTATGGGCACAGGGTCAAACCCTAGAGGGGTTAGAACCAGGTACCGTAATAAAACAATTATATGGACAGTAATGAAGTTACATTATGGAGAACCAAAACCGATAAGTCCCAAATGAATCTAGAACAAAGAACCAATCCGTGGGTCTAGCGGAATGCTGTCCGCTGAGCTCCAGGTGCCGCAGCCCAGTGCTCATACCTCGTGACGCTGTCACTCAGCCACCGAAAATGACACGATATGTGGTGGCACCCCTGCCCCCCATCTAACCTGACGTCCAATCATGTTCCGCCTCCGGCCCCTTATCGGCAGCCTGGAGACACACATCTGTAATCCGTGTGCCGGGGTCACGCAGCGATACCGAGCGAGGCGATTACATTTCCACCTGTCTGATATCAAGCCCCCTCATCTCGGCGCGGCTGCCGCGGCGCACGTGAAGAAAACAAGCCTGCGGGGGCGTGATACGATATCAATTTCACGCCGCGCATTTCTCGTGTTCGGCTCCCGTGCCCCGCCAGGTCAGGCAGAACAAGAGAGGCATGCGTTCAAGGCGGAACCACAGATGTCACCATAGCGCCCCCCAAAGGATGGGAGGGAGATGTGCACGCTCTTTATCCTGCCGATCGGCTACACAAAAAGCAAACAAATATTTTAGAATTCACACTGGCTCCCCCCGCACGCTCTCACCCTAACCCTCAACACGGACACTTGTAGTTTAGGTCACATGCAGTAACATCTACCCTGAGTCCAACCTGCCCATACCTCTCATCTAGTTTGCCACCTGACCGATCCCCCCCCCCCCCCCCCCACATCCTGTCGGCTGGGGGGGGGTCAGCCCCTGAGGCCCCTGACAGCGGTAAATGCGTGCAGGTTGAATTATTCATGCCCTTAATAAACGGGGGCCGATTTAACAGAACGTGATGGATTGGCGTTTGGCCGGGGGGTGTTATGGTGAACAGACACTGCGCTCAACACGCTGAAACGCCCAGAGGCAGGATGCCGTCGGGCCGCTCCTGTCACTCGGGCCGACACCCGCGTCAGATATAACCCACACCGAATCTCCAAGCTCTCCGGGTCGGCGGACAGGAATCACAGGGACAAAAACATCATGTAAAGATGCCGGCAAGGAGGATGCGGGCTGGGCCCTTTCGGACCACGTGACGACGGGCCGCGAGCAGCTGAGGGCTAACAGCAAACAGGGCCGGCGTGGATCTGTGACCCTCAAGCTTTAAAGGAAGAACATTCCGGAAACATTTCTCACACTTAAAATTAACAGTTGACCATCCCCTCCCCCCTCCTCGCCACACATGGAACAGGGTCCCGGACAGGAAAGGGTTAACCGTACTTCTTTCGGGGCTTGGGTGGGGCGGCGACAGCATCCCTGCGAGGCCGGCCGCGGGGGCGCTTGTCTGAGGGGGCGGGGCTGCCAGCGGGGGTGGCCCCCCCGCCAGCTGGGGGCGGCGATGGTCCGTGCTCAGAGGCCTCTAGACTCTTGTCCTCTGATGACATTCTGTGGAGCAGTGAGAGAG